TCTTAATGTTAAATGGTCTTGATGCCAGCTGATTGTTAATGTTAAATGGTCTTGATGCCAGCTGATTCTTTATGTTAAATGGTCTTGATGCCAGCAATAAAAAATAATGTTGAAGTAAGAGCACTGTGCTGTATTGTAGTGTAGTGATTTCAAATAACAGTGAATGAATTCCTCACATTTTATTATTTGTTTCCTTTTGAGTGATTGAAAACATTTAATTGTCTCTTTTAGTAGCTCATTGATTAATACACGTCGAGCCAAATCATCCATAGTGGCCGTGTTCCATCCTTTCCATCAGTGATCAGTGGTAGATGTGTAGATTGCTGCATTAGATTTAGTCAATGAAGGCAAGGAGGACAAACTGCTAAAGTTATTCCCTGCAATTAGCTTGAATCTAGCAGGTCTAGAGAAGCTGTGTCTCTGTGGTGTCTTCTACAGGCGTAGCTCCAGAATGTACATAAACATTCTACAGGTGTGGCTCCAGAAGTACATAAACATTCTACAGGTGTAGCTCCAGAATGTACATAAACATATACAGGGTGTAGCTCCAGAATGTAAATAAACATTCTGCGGGTAGCTCCAGAATGTATGCATAAACATTCTACAGGTGTAGCTCCAGAAGTACATAAAACTTCTACAGTATAGCGCCAGAATGTACATAAACATTATACAGGTGTAGCTCCAGAAAGGTACATAAAACATTATACAGGTGTAGCTCCAGAATGTACATAAACATTATACAGGTATAGCTCCAGAATGGACCATAAAACATTTCTACAGGCGAGCCATCCAGAAAGGGTACTAAACCCTCTACAGGTGTAGCTCCAGAATGTACCATAACATTTACAGGGTAGCTCCAGAATGTACATAAAAATTTCTACAGGCCGTAGCTCCAGAATGTACATAAACATTCTACAGGTGTAGCTCCAGAATGTACATAAACATTCTACAGGTGTAGCTCCAGAATGTACATAAACATTCTACAGGTGTAGCTCCAGAATGTACATAAACATTCTACAGGTGTAGCTCCAGAATGTACATAAACATTCTACAGGTGTAGCTCCAGAATGTACATAAACATTCTACAGGTGTAGCTCCAGAATGTACATAAAACATTCCCAGGCCGAGTAGGATCAGAATGTACATAAACATTTAGGTTTGTAGCTCCAGAATGTACATAACACATGTACCAGGGGTAGCTCCAGAATGTACATAAACATTACAGGTGTTGTAGGTAGCTCCAGAATGTAATCAACATTATGCAGGTGTAGATCCAGAATGTACATAAAACATTCTAACAGTGTTGGTAGCTCCAGCATGTAACATAAACATTCTACAGGCGCAGACTCCAGATGCTACATAAACATTCTACAGTGAGCTCCAGAATGTACATAAAATCTACAGGTGTAGCTCCAGAATGTCCATAAAACATTCTACAGGCGTAGCTCAAGAATGTACAAAACATTTACAGGGTTAGCTCCAGAATGTACATAAACATTCTACAGGTGTAGCCGCAGAAGTGTACATAACATTCTATAGGTGGAGCTCAGAATGTACTAAAACTTCTACAGTGTAGCTCCAGAATGTACATAACATTAAAGGCGTAGCTCCAGAAGTACATAAAACATTTTACAGGCGTAGCTCCAGAATGTACATAAACATTCTACAGTGTAGCTCCAGAATGTACATAAAAACATTCTATGGTTTAGCCCAGAATGTACATAAACATGTCTACAGGTGTTGTAAGCTCCCGAAGTACAAAACATTCTACAGGTGTTAGCTCCAGACTTCTAATAACATTTTACAGGTGTAGCTCCAGAATGTACATAAACATTCTGCCAGATGTAGCTCCAGAATGTACATAAACCTTCTACAGGCGTTAGCTCAAGAATGTACCTAAAACAGTCTACAGGGTGTAGCTCCAGAATGTACATAAACATTTCTGCAGGTGTAGCCCAGAATGTCATAAACATCGCAGGTTGTAGCTCCAGATGTACATAAACATCTGCAGGAGTAGCCCAGAATGACACTAAAACATTATACAGGCGTAGCTCCAGAAATGTACATAAACATTTCAGGGTGTAGCTCCGAATGTACATAAACATTTCTAAAGGTGTAGCTCCAGAATGTTACATAAACATTCTGCAGGTGTTTGTTGTTGTAGCTCAAGAATGGACAAAACATTTCTGCAGGCGTGCTCCAGAAATTACATAACTTCTGCAGGTGTAGCTCCAGAATGGACATAAACATTCTGCAGGTGTAGCCCTATAAATACCATTGAGCACTTGGTTTCTCTATTTAACATGTATTTATTCAGGAATATCTCCTGTGAGCTACTACTGTATTCTTGTGTATACAGTGTTTTGGTTGTTAAACAGTGGCTGGCTTAAAGAGCTGTAGCTAACACTTTATTGATAGGGAGTCTTTTATCCAGCCGTGTGTTTTAGTGTAGTAATAAAACAGAGAGAGGAGAAGAGAGCAGAGGAGAAGAGAGCGAAGAGCATTTCATGAGAGAGAGCCGAGCGCCCGAGCCGCTAACTGGAGAGAGAGTAGAGAGACGATTAGTTTGAGAAAGCGTAGGACGGCATGAATCCATGAGAGAGCAGGGAGGCGGGAGAGAGAGAGTGATGTCGGAGAGAGAGAGAGACGGAGAGAGGACGGCACTCGCGAGAGAGAGAGGATGACGCAGAGACTGAGCTTCGAACAGCATGACGAGAGAGACTGTAGGACTTAGACGAGAGGAGAGGTTATGGAGACCGCAGAGAGCCTAGGAGGAAGTAGACGAGGAAGATGATGATGATCGAGCCCCAGAATCAGGAAGAGAAGCAGGCCCGGGAGACGAGAACGTAGAGACGGAGCCTCGGGAGAGAATAGGAGAGGAGAGACCGAGCATGAGGGAGTAGAGTGAGATGACGGAGAGAGCAGAGGAGAGAAGACGGACCGAGATGAGAGAGGACGAGAGAGAAGCCCACTTCCCCCCATCACCCGGTTCCCTCTTCACTCTACACCCTTCCGGAGAGAGAGATGTCTGGGACTCCGAGAGGAGAGGGAGACCGAGACGAGAGAGAGGAGACTTACGAGAGGCAGTCAGGCCGATGAGAAGAGAGAGAGTGAGATGAAGACGAGAGAGAAGAGGCAGAGTAAGGAGAGACGGCAGTCGGAGAGAACGAGGAGGAACTGAACTTGAGAGAGTGATCGAGAGCCCTCCGACGGTGCTGAAGGGAGGATCGAGACACGAGTCCCCCGACAACCGGTAGCGAGATTGGAGCTCTGAGAGCGACTGGTTCTGACGAGAGACTGAGAGGAGGAGACGAGCGAGAGATTGAGAGAAGGCGGAACTAAGAGAGAGGGATCGCGAAGAGCCGAGAGAGGTAAGAGAACAGACGAAGCTAACCGAGAAGCGCACGGAGCGACGGGAGGAATCGAGAGTACGGACGATAGAGGAGTGAGAGAACGTGATGAACGGAGAGAGGAGACGAGAGAGACGAGAGAGACGAGAGAGAGAGAGATGAGAGCTCCCTTGTGATGACGGCGAGACGAGCAGAGGAGTGAGGGACTCATCTTGAGATCGAGAAGCCAGAGCCAGATTGAGACCGGTACCGCCGGATGGAAAGAGCGGTGGGGAAGGAGACTAGGGAGAGGATGATGCAAGCTATGGAGAGACACGAGAGCGCGGAGAGTCGCTAAGGGGAAGACGGGAGAGGAGAGAGAGGAAGGTAGAGTGTTGGAGCGGAGATGAGACGAGGACGCGCGAAGCAGATGAGAGTGTAGAGAGCCAGTGCGAGAGAGCCAGACCCCCGTGAGAAGTCCATAGGAGATATGGATGCGGGAGAGAGAGAGCCAGGAAAGAGCGATGACGAAGGACACTACGCGGACGACGACGAGCAGATGAGAGAGAGGAGACCGATTGCCAGACACTGCAGGAGGGCTCAGAGGAGAGAGCAGACTGACAGAGAGAGAGAGGAGAGAGAAGCCCACTTCTCCTTCTGTCTTGACGAGAGAGAAGAGATGCTAGGGGACGACGAAGGAGGCGAGATGAGCCTAGATGGACTGAGGATCGGACAGAAGGTCCCGACGAGATACTCATGCAGTGAGAGGTGCGTATGATTGTGAGTCTATCGAAGGCACGCTGAGTGAGCTGGAGGCCTAGCAGCATGAGTATATGATGAGGATGATATAGAGAGCAGAGAGACAGGGAGAGGGAGTGAGGAAGAGAGGACAAGAGAGACGAGAACGAGAGGTCTAGCGAGATAGCACGGAGCGGTACGGAGAGCGACCCATCTCCCCGAGAGATGAGCGAGCCTCCCAGTGTCGAGCAGAGCATGACCGAGAGGAGAAGAGAGAGAAGACGCCGAGAAGAGAACGAGAAATTAGAGTGTCTCCCCCCCCTCGGGTTGATGGATTAGGAGGGAAGGAGAGGCATGCGGAGGAGGAGAGCAGAAGAGACGCGATTGAGGAGGACGAGAGGAGAGAGGATTGACGGAGAGGCGGAGAGAGGGAAGCGACGGAGAGAGAGAGATGCTAGAGAGTCCGTCCCGTCCTCGGGAGAGAGCAGAGCGCCTGAGCGAAGGACGATGAGTCAGAGTGGTTATGAGAGATCGCAGAGAGAGAGAAGAGGGAGAGGATGAGAGAGAGAGACGATAGAAAGAGAGAAAGAGGAGGAGGTAGAGAGAGTCAGTCACGGGAGGAGCGAGAGATGAGAGAGAGAGAGAGAAGGAGAGAACGAGAGAGATGGAGAGAGTGAGGGCGAGAGAGTGGAGAGAGGGGAGAGAGTGGGATTGCAGAGAGGAGAGTAGATCAGAGAGGAGAGGGGAGAGAGGAGAGAGAGATGAGAGGAGGAGAGAGATGAGAGAGGAGGAAGAGAGAGAGGAGAGAATACCTGTTATGGTTCTGTTGTTAGGTTATGTCATGTAATTTATCCATTAATTCAGTGTGGATAGTTTGTTGGTGATATTGATGGTCGATGATAAGCAGGACAATAGCTGAGCAATTCAAACAGTATGTGCAGTGGTGGGTCTCTCTCCCACAGACAAGGACCAGGCACATATATTTTCTGGACATTCTTTTAAAGTTAATTAATGGTGTCATTAAGAGGCATACTTTAAGGGAAAGACGTTTTGCATTTCTAAGTACTCTGGGTACTCTGTCTGCCGCACACCATTCCATTACCAGGTACAAGGAGAAAGGGGCTTTACTCTAGGCAGGGATTTACTAACCACTAGTCATTACCAGGTACAAGGAGAAAGGGGCTTTAATCTAGGCAGGGATTTACTAACCGCTAGTCATTACCAGGTACAAGGAGAAAGGGGCTTTACTCTAGGCAGAGATTTACTAATTGCTAGTCATTACCAGGTACAAGGAGAAAGGGGCTTTACTCTAGTTAGGTATTTACTTACCCCTAGTCATTACCAGGTACAAGGAGAAAGGGGCTTTACTCTAGGCAGGGATTTACTAACCGCTAGTCATTACCAGGTACAAGGAGAAAGGGGCTTTACTCTAGGCAGGTATTTACTAACCGCTAGTCATTACCAGGTACAGGGAGAAAGGGGCTTTAATCTAGGCAGGGATTTACTAACCGCTAGTCATTACCAGGTACAAGGAGAAAGGGGCTTTACTCTAGTTAGGTATTTACTTACCCCTAGTCATTACCAGGTACAAGGAGAAAGGGGCTTTACTCTAGTTAGGTATTTACTTACCCCTAGTCATTACCAGGTACAAGGAGAAAGGGGCTTTACTCTAGTTAGGTATTTACTTACCCCTAGTCATTACCAGGTACAAGGAGAAAGGGGCTTTACTCTAGGCAGGGATTTACTAACCGCTAGTCATTACCAGGCACAAGGAGAAAGGGGCTTTACTCTAAGCAGGGATTTACTAACCGCTAGTCATTACCAGCTACAAGGAGAAAGGGGCTTTACTCTAGGCAGGGATTTACTAACCCTTAGTCATTATCAGGTACAAGGAGAAAGGGGCTTTACTCTAGGCAGGGATTTACTAACCGCTAGTCATTTGTATTCATTTCTCCATTCTGTTTTTGTATTCTCTGTGTTGAATAACTTTGAATAGTCTGATTTGAACAGTGTGGCAGGTGTGTATGCATGTATTTCTTTAATACATTTTCCCTCAAGGGAAATGTCCTGTTGTTTAGATGTTGGATATTGACAAGGTCGGATGACCTGTTAGTGACGTGTTTTTGGTGTGTGTGTTTCTGTGTGTGTGTGTGTGTGTGTGTGTGTGTGTGTGTGTGTGTGTGTGTGTGTGTGTGTGTGTGTGGTGTGTGTGTGTGTGTGTGTTTCTGTGTGTGTGTGTGTGTGTGTGTCTGTGTGTGTGTGTGTGCTTGCAGCGGAGTGTGGGGGTAGGTTCAAAGGTGAGTCTACAGGGCGCATCCTGTCTCCTGGATATCCCTTCCCTTACGACAACAACCTGCGCTGTACCTGGACCATCACTGTCAACTCTGGCAACATCGTCAGGTAGCTACACATATAGAATGGGAATCTGATATTAACTCTTTACCACAAAATTAATGGGCGAATGGGGGTACCCTTGTCTGGTACCTCGCAGAACAATTTCTATATTAATGCATGACATAACAGGCCTGCTGTTTTTTCAGATAATATCTTGTCAAATATTGACTTACTTTGATCATTAAATTAGGATTCATCATGCACAGTTTGATAATTGCCTTTGGAGGTATGTACGCATCAGAGTTTCCGTCAGCCGGTAATTGCCGGCATTTGGCCGATAAAAAAAATGAAAAGCCGATAAATAAAATTGTAGCCAGCCAAATTGACCGTGAGAAAAAAAACTATCCCATTGCAAAATAATGCTTTTTATTCATTGTTGGAAATATGAGTTAATGGAAATACATTTGACCGCCATGCTTATCAGTCTATAGGTTAATTTGGGTCGTGTGTATTTTCGTTAGTCGTCATGTATCTTATTTATCACACACACACAGAGCACACAGAGACTATTCTGAGCGGAATATCACTCGTCAGACAGCTCCATGTCCTGCAGCTCCTCGCTGCTGGAGTGAAACTTGCTTTTTTAAACCCAGTCATTGAGCAACGATTCTAAATGCAGTCGCTTGTTAAGAACAGTTTTTGACGGCCACAATTAAAGATATCTACTATTTTTGTTTCTCAACTGGTAATTTGAAGCACGCCTCCCATTTGCCAATAGGTGCGCAGGCAACGCTAGGCATGCCATCAGCGAGTCACCCACCACTTTGCAATGTGAGCTGGAGGCAGGATTTTGAAAACATACGCTTAATTGTTTGAAACCTGCATGTTTTACTTCATTTTATGAGTCATGTCTTGCCTTGCTTCATGGTAGCCTAGGCAATATCCTACCATAGACACGTGGAAGCAGTTATTTTATGAAGATTTCCCTCATATGCCATTGAAACCAGCGTTTTTCTCCTGTTCTATTGGTTTTCATATAAACTTTCTTTCATTGTCCAGGAGCCAAAGGCACAATCCCAGTCATATTAGCAACCCCTTCTAATTGTTGCATCTTTAGATTCCCCCTCTTTCTAAGTTTCTAACTGAGATTTTCATCTCTGTCACATTTTTAACTGCTCACATCAGGTGCGTTGTTTAGAATGGTGTTTTCCCGCAAATTGCATTTTTGGCAAATGTTTGAAAATGCCGTTTTATTGGCTACTTAAGATTAATTACCATTGTCGTATCGGGTGAATGGTGGCAATTATTGCTGTCAACAAAGAGTCCGCTTAGGCTGCACCGTGTTTTAGAGGCTTTTATTAATATCCCACGGTTACAGCATAAGTGACAGATGTCATGACATCCGGAGAGCGACGCCTCAGAATGGCCGCTCTGCCCTTTCATCGTTTAACCCCTACTTATAAACAATGCAAAAAGATGGGCTCCCTCTTCTGGCCAATCACCAGTCTCCCCTGTCCACAACACACTTCCTGTCTGTTGTATGTGGCGTTACACTAAAACATTCCCTCTTGATACTAAAATTAACATCCTCTCTGGTTCCACTTAAAACATTAACAACGTCATAATCTCAATACACGACACCATAATCTAAATGTGATTTCTGTCATTCTGAGCACTGTGGGTGGACACCCTAATGGGTTACGCACCCAGTGCATATCGGTCAGGTAATTTTCTCAAATGGCCGGTAAATTAAAATCTTCCCAGTCACGTTGTCCGAAGCCACATTTTGCTAACGGAAAACCCGTTACTCATCTACCTTTTCACCATGGAAATTAAAACGCAAATGGGAAAATGGGGCATCCTTTTCTGGTACCTAGTGCATTCCAAATTGTAGCCTTCTGCATTTCCAGATCTTGTACAAAGATTAACTTAGTTAGAACCATGTAATTAAGATTAAAAAATACACCGTTCGTGACTGCCTGTGGAGGTTCTGTAGTTTCTCTAATCATTTTGGTGACTGCCTGACTGTGGAGTTGGTTTGTCCAATCGGATCCCAGCTAGCCCTCCAGATCCTGGAGCCAATCAAACGGAGGATGTGAATATAACTACAGCAGAATTTTCAGACGGTTTGTCTTGCCAGACATTGCCGATAGAGTCAACAGAAAATGCACACAACAGATAGAATTTGAAGAAGTTATGATTTGAAATTGGTGTTGTCTTGGGCCAAAGTGTGTTTTGTTTAATTCCGATTTAAATCCATCCTCCCTAGCCTCCAGTTTCTGGCGTTCGACACAGAGGCATCTCACGACATCCTGAAGGTTTGGGACGGACCACCAGAAAATGAGATGTCTCTGAGGGAGGTGTCTGGCTCCCTGCTCCCCGAGGGGATACACAGCACCCTCGACGTCGTCACCGTTCAGTTCGAGACTGACTTTTACATCACCAAGTCTGGCTTCGCAATCGACTTCTCAAGTGAGTGCTTCACCAAGAAAATACCTGTCAAAGAAAGAACAGCATTTATTTATTCCATTTACCTTCAACTCTGTAATAATTGGGTCTCATATGAACTGGGAAGCTAATGAATGCTTTAACAATTTTCTTCTCAAGTGAGTCTTTCAACAAGAGAGGACAGGCAGCATGTTGTAGTTTTTCCATTCTCCAGTTCTCTCAATGTTTTTATAAATTGTGAAGTAGAAAGCTATCAAATGCTGAAACAATCTGAATCATTCTCACTTAAAACTGAAGTAGTTCTCTCAACCTTATATAATTGTGAAGTACGGTAGAAAAGATCAAGTACGTTAACACTATTTGGATAATGCATCTGTAGATGCTCTACAGACTATTTACAGACTATCAGTGACATTTCAGAAAATGATCTACTATCCCTAACCCTAACCCTAACTTTAACCCTTATCCTAACCCTAAACTTAACTCTTACACTAACCCTACCTTTAACCTTTACTCTAGGCCTTATTCTAAACCTAACCGTAACCACGATCTAAGCAAGCAGTTGCTTATCAACAGATAGTGTGTTGATAGTATGACCATCTCTAGAGCATCTACAGATGGACTATCCAGACTATCCAAATAAAGTGTGAACTCAAGTTCAAAGCCGTGGACGATCAGGTTTCTAGAGATCTTTCTACAGCTGTGACCAGTTGAGCTTGAGAATCAGTCATGATTCTCCAGCTGTATATAAGTCAGACTCAGTCATGATTCTCCAGCTGTATCTAAGTCAGACTCAGTCATGATTCTCCAGCTGTATCTAAGTCAGACTCAGTCATGATTCTCCAGCTGTATCTAAGTCAGACTCAGTCATGATTCTCCAGCTGTATCTAAGTCAGACTCAGTCATGATTCTCCAGCTGTATCTAAGTCAGACTCAGTCATGATTCTCCAGCTGTATCTAAGTCAGACTCAATCATGATTCTCCAGCTGTATCTAAGTCAGACTCAATCATGATTCTCCAGCTGTATATAGTGTAAGTCAGACTCAGTCATGATTCTCCAGCTGTATCTAAGTCAGACTCAGTCATGATTCTCCAGCTGTATCTAAGTCAGACTCAGTCATGATTCTCCAGCTGTATCTAAGTCAGACTCAGTCATGATTCTCCAGCTGTATCTAAGTCAGACTCAGTCGTGATTCTCCAGCTGTATCTAAGTCAGACTCAGTCATGATTCTCCAGCTGTATCTAAGTCAGACTCAATCATGATTCTCCAGCTGTATCTAAGTCAGACTCAGTCATGATTCTCCAGCTGTATCTAAGTCAGACTCAGTCATGATTCTCCAGCTGTATGTAAGTCAGACTCAGTCATGATTCTCCAGCTGTATCTAAGTCAGACTCAGTCATGATTCTCCAGCTGTATCTAAGTCAGACTCAGTCATGATTCTCCAGCTGTATCTAAGTCAGACTCAATCATGATTCTCCAGCTGTATATAGTGTAAGTCAGACTCAATCATGATTCTCCAACTGTATCTAAGTCAGACTCAGTCATGATTCTCCAGCTGTATCTAAGTCAGACTCAGTCATGATTCTCCAGCTGTATCTAAGTCAGACTCAGAGAGGCCATAAAGTCATATCCGCTGTGTGTCCTTCAGCTGTTGTTTAATGTCATGTCTGCTGTGTGTCTCCAGGTTCGGTGGCGACAGCCTGCAGAGATCCAGGCATGCCTATGAATGGCAGTCGTAACGGAGAGGGGAGAGAACCAGGTGATACGGTGAACTTCTCCTGTGATCCAGGATACGAGCTGCAGGGAGAGAGCAAGATCACCTGCATCCAGGTGGACAACAGATACTATTGGCTGCCCAGCCCTCCCAGCTGCATTGGTGAGGATGTACTACTATACTATACTGTACTATACTATACTATACTATACTATACTATACTATACTATACTATACTATACTATACTATACTATACTATACTATACTACTGGCAGACCATCCCTCCCAGCTGTATTGGTGAGGCTTAACATGCAATATAACTAGTTAATCAGCCCTCCCAGTTGCATTGTTGAGGCTTTACATGAAATACAGTGCATTTGGAAAGTATGCAGACCCCTTCACTTTTTCCACATTTTGGTGCGTTACAGCCTTGTTCTAAATAAATAAAAATATTAATCAATCTACACATAATACCCTTAATGACAAAGCAAAAACAGGTTTTAGAAATGTCTGCATATAAAATAAAAAAATAAAATACGTATTTGCATAAGTATTCAGACCCTTTGCTATGAGACTCGAAATTGAGCTCAGGTGCATCCTGTTTCGATTGATAATCCTTGAGATGTTTCTACAACTTGATTGGAGTCCACCTGTGGTAAATTCAATTGATTGGACATGATTTGGAAAGTCATACACCTGTCTATATAAGGTCCCACAGTTGACAGTGCATGTCAGAGCAAAAACCAAGCCATGAGGTCGAAGGAATTGTCCGTAGAGCTCCGAGACAGGATTGTGTCGAGGCACAGATCTGGGGAAGGGTACCAAAACATTTCTGCAGCATTGAAGGTCCCCAAGAACACAGTGGTCTAAATCATTCTTAAATGGAAGAAGTTTAGAACAACCAAGACTCTTCCTAGAGCTGGCCGCCCATCCAAACTGAGCAATCGTTGGAGAAGGGCCTTGCTCAGGGAGGTGTCCAGGAACCCGATGGTCACTCTGACAGAGCTCCAGTTCCTCTGTGGAGATGGGAGAACCTTCCAGAAGGAGAATCTTCCAGAAGGAGAACCTTCCAGAAGGAGAACCTTCCAGAAGGAGAACCTTCCAATTGGAATCCATGCTTCAAGATTGTTTTGATCACGCGGACTGGGATATGTTCCGGGTAGCTTGCGAAAATAATTTAGACGAATACACTGATACGGTGACTGAGTTTATCAGGAGGTGATGTTGTGCCGACTGTGACTATTAAAACCTACCCTAACCAGAAACCGTGGATAGATGGCACCATTGGCGCAAAACTGAAAGCGCGAACCACTGCATTTAACCATGGCAAGGTGACAGGGAATATGGCAGAATACGAACAGTGTAGCTACTCACTCCGCAAGGCAATTAAACTGGCAAAACATCAGGATAGAGACAAAGTGGAGTCGCAATTCAACGGCTCAGACACAAGACGTATGTGGCAAGGTCTACAGACAATCACGGACTTCAAAAAGAAAACCAGCCACATCGCCGACACTGACGTCTTGCTTCCAGACAAGCTAAACACTGTGTTCGCCCGCTTTGAGGATAACACAGTGCCACTAACGAGGCCCACTACCAAGGACTGTGGCCTCTCCTTCTCCGTGGCCGACGTGATTAAGACATTTAAGCATGTTAACCCCCGCAAGGCTGCCGGCCCAGACGGCATCCCTAGCCGCGTCCTCAGAGCATGCGCAGACCAGCTGGCTGGTGTGTTTACGGACATATTCAATCTCTCCCTTTCCCAGTCTGCTGTTCCCACATGCTTCAATATGGCCACCATTGTTCCTGTACCCAAGAAAGCAAAGGTAACTGAACTAAATGACTATCACCCTGTAGCACTCACCTCTGTCATCATGAAGTGCTTTGAGAGACTAGTCAAGGATCATATCACCTCTACCTTACCTGTCACCCTAGACCCACTTCATTTTGCTTACCGCCCCAATAGATCCACAGACGATGCAATCGGCATCACACTGCACACTGCCCTATCCCATCTGGACAAGAGGAATACCTATGTAAGAATGCTGTTCATTGACTATAGCTCAGCATTCAACACCATAGTACCCTCCAAGCTCATCATTAAGCTTGAGGCCCTGGGTCTGAACCCCGCCCTGTGCAACTGGGTCCTGGACTTCCTGACGGGCCGCCCCCAGGTGGTGAAGGTAGGAAACAACATCTCCACTTCGCTGATCCTCAACACTGGGGCCCCACAAGGGTGCGTCCTCAGCCCCCTCCTGTACTCCCTGTTCACCCATGACTGCATGGCTAAGCACGCCTCCAACTCAATCATCAAGTTTGCAGACGACACAACAGTAGTAGGCCTGATTACCAACAATGACGAGACAGCCTACAGGGAGGAGGTGAGGGCTCTGAGAGTGTGGTGCCAGGAAAATAACCTCTCACTCAACGTCAACAAAACAAAGGAGATGATCGTGGACTTCAGGAAACAGCAGAGGGTGCACCCCCCTATCCACATTGACAGGACCGCAGTGGAGAAGGTGGAAAGCTTCAAGTTCCTTGGCGTACACATCACTGACAAACTGAAATGGTCCACCCACACAGACAGTGTGGTGAAGAATGTGCAACAGAGCCACTTCAACCTCAGGAGGCTGAAGAAATTTGGCATGGCACCTAAAACCCTCACAAAGTTTTACAGATGCACAATTGAGAGCATCCAGTCAGGCTGTATCACCGCCTGGTACGGCAACTGCACCGCCCGCAACCGCAGGGCTCTCCAGAGGGTGGTGCGGTCTGCCGAACGCATTACCAGGAGCAAACTACCCGCCCTCCAAGACACCTACAGCACCCGATGTCACAGGAAGGCCAAAAAGATCATCAAGGACATCAACCACCCGAGCCACTGCCTGTTCACCCCACTATCATCCAGAAGGCGAGGTCAGTACAGGTGCATCAAAGCTGGGACCGAGAGAATGAAAAACAGCTTCTGTCTCAAGGCCATCAGACCGTTAAATAGCCATCACTAGCACAGTAGAGGCTGCTGCTGCCTATTGAAATCACAGGTTCCTCAAAAGACAGGCTCCTAGGAATTTAACTATGGTTATTCTGTTTTATGTTACAATATAGTTATTCTGTACTCAGGCGGAATCAGTGAGGCATTAAATGCCATGTCTTCCTTGTAAAAGAGGTCTTCTGTCCTCAATGGAACTTCCTGGATAAGTAAAGGATAAATCAAATAAAAAATCTAATACTACTAGGAATATAACTGTGGTTATTCTGCCCTCCTAGCTGCATTAATGAAACTATACTAGGAATATAACGGGTTAGTCTGTCCTCCTAACTTCATTGGTGACATCTAGAAATGAAACGCTACTAGGGATATTTTCTAGTTCTGTCATTCTGTCTATAAACCACCGGTATGATTCATGGGATCAGCAGCACCATGAGCGAGACATATTAAAACCGCTGCATAGGGTTGTACTGTGTATTTAGAACACAGTGGTACTGTGTATTTAGAACACAGTGGTACTGTGTATTTAGAACACAGTGGTACTGTGTATTTAGAACACAGTGGTACTGTGTATTTAGAACACAGTGGTACTGTGTATTTAGAACACAGTGGTACTGTGTATTTAGAACACAGTGGTACTGTATATTTAGAACACAGTGGTACTGTATATTTAGAACACAGTGGTACTGTGTATTTAGAACACAGTGGTACTGTATATTTAGAACACAGTGGTACTGTGTATTTAGAACACAGTGGTACTGTGTATTTAGAACACAGTGGTACTGTATATTTAGAACACAGTGGTACTGTGTATTTAGAACACAGTGGTACTGTATATTTAGAACACAGTGGTACTGTATATTTAGAACACAGTGGTACTGTATATTTAGAACACAGTGGTACTGTATATTTAGAACACAGTGGTACTGTATATTTAGAACACAGTGGTACTGTATATTTAGAACACAGTGGTACTGTGTATTTAGAACACAGTGGTACTGTGTATTTAGAACACAGTGGTACTGTATATTTAGAACACAGTGGTACTGTGTATTTAGAACACAGTGGTACTGTGTATTTAGAACACAGTGGTACTGTATATTTAGAACACAGTGGTACTGTGTATTTAGAACACAGTGGTACTGTATATTTAGAACACAGTGGTACTGTGTATTTAGAACACAGTGGTACTGTGTATTTAGAACACAGTGGTACTGTATATTTAGAACACAGTGGTACTGTGTATTTAGAACACAGTGGAACTGTGTATTTAGAACACAGTGGTACTGTGTATTTAGAACACAGTGGTACTGTGTATTTAGAACACAGTGGTACTGTATATTTAGAACACAGTGGTACTGTGTATTTAGAACACAGTGGTACTGTATATTTAGAACACAGTGGTACTGTATATTTAGAACACAGTGGTACTGTGTATTTAGAACACAGTGGTACTGTGTATTTAGAACACAGTGGTACTGTATATTTAGAACACAGTGGTACTGTGTATTTAGAACACAGTGGTACTGTGTATTTAGAACACAGTGGTACTGTATATTTAGAACACAGTGGTACTGCGTATTTAGAACACAGTGGTACTGTGTATTTAGAACACAGTGGTACTGTGTATTTAGAACACAGTGGTTATGTGTGTGTGTTTCTGCAGCTCCCTGTGGGGGCAACGTAACAGGATCATCAGGATTCATCCTCTCCCCCAACTTCCCCCTCCCTTACCCTCACAGCAAGGACTGTGATTGGCTGATCGCTGTCCACTCAGACTACGTCATATCCCTGGCTTTTATCAGGTAAGGAATGAATGAATGATTCCGTTCAGGTAAGCTACTGAACTGAAACACACCCAGAAAGACGAACGTCTGAAAGCAGAGGGTGACTGCGGTGTGTTAGAGATCGCCTGCTGGGTGTTGATGAACTGTGGTGATTCAACATGTAGAATCGTCAGTAAATAAACTGAAATTGACAGCGGATGTTCTGTGGTGTGGTGTTCCTCTCTACTGGTATCTGAGTCTGGTTCCCCTCAAGGTTTCTTCCTTTCATCTGTGCTGATGCTTGCTCTTTCTATTGGTGCTCTGGGCGGCGTTATTGTAAACCACTTTCTGAAAACTATTCTTTTAAAAAGGTCTTTATCATAGTTTGTGAAAAGGTCTTTATCATAGTTTGGGAAAAGGTCTTTATCATAGTTTGGGAAAAGGTCTTTAAGTTTCCTATTTATCTTTATGCTGATAGTTTACTGTGTGTGTCTGTGTGTGTGTGTGTGTGTGTGTGTGTGTGTGTGTGTGTGTGTGTCTGTGTGTGTGTGTGTGTGTGTGTGTGTGTGTGTGTGTGTGTGTGTCTGTGTGTGTGTGTGTGTGTCTGTCTGTGTGTGTGTGTGTGTGTGTGTGTTTGGGCTATTTGTTTGTTTGAGATGTGGGGTTCTTTGTTTTTAGCTGGGGCATCATTTGGTATTTATATAAGGGCATTTAGCTACGCTCTTAGAGAAAAAGGTTCCAAAAGGGTTCTTCAGCTGTCCCCATAGGAGAACCCTTTCTGGTTCCAGGTAGAATTATTTTGGGTTCCAGGGCCTCCCGAGTGGAGCAGCGGTCTAAGGCTCTGCAGTGCTTGAGGAGTCACTACAGACCCGGGTTCAATCCCAGGCTGTGTCACAGCTGGCCGTGACCGGGACACCCATGAGGCGGCGCACAATTGGCCCAGCGTCCTCCGGGTTAGGGGAGGGTTTGGCTGGTTGGGATGTCCTTGTCCCATCGCTCTAGCGACTCCTTGTGGTGGGCCGGGCGTATGCACGCTTGCACGCTTACACGGTCGCCAGCTGGACGGTGTTTCCTCCGACACATTGGTGCGGCTGGCTTCCAGGTTAAGCGAACAGTGTGTCAAGAAGCAGTGCGGCTTGGCGGGGTCGTGTTTCGGAGGACGCATGGCTCTCGACCTTCGCCTCTCCCGAGTCCCTATGGGAGTTGCAGCAATGCGACTGTAACTAGAAATTGGGGACAAAAAGGGGTAAGATATACAGCATCATTTCCATTTGGTTTGTTCTGCTAGACACTGAGTAAACAGGAAATGCACACAACCTCACGGAACACTGAAGAACAGGAAGAAGTTATGATTTGAAACTGGTGTGTTCTTGAATGGACACAGATTTAATTATCCCAAAGCTATTACAATTTTTGTCATAAGCCAAACTGATTATTTTTTAGAAACAACAGACTTCTTTCAGTGAGAAACGTGATTTGATATACATCAATAGAACAATATGAAATGCCTGCCTCACACTACATTTTCCAGGGCCATTTGGGAGCAGTTCTGCCTCCATGATGTTACAACAATTCAATCTCTCTCTCTCTCTCTCTCTCTCTCTCTCTCTCTCTCTCTCTCTCTCTCTCTCTCTCTCTCTCTCTCTCTCTCTCTCTCTCTCACACTACATTGCCAGGGCCATTTGGGAGCAGTTCTGCCTCCATGATGTTACAACAATTCAATCTCTCTCTCTCTCTCTCTCTCTCTCTCTCTCTCTCTCTCTCGCTCTCTCGCTCTCTCTCTCTCTCTCTCTCTCTCTCTCTCTCTCTCTCTCTCTCTCTCTCTCTCTCTCTCTCTCTCTCTCTCTCTCTCTCTCTCTCTCTCTCTCCAGAGCTCTTCAGGGAGTTATTCCGTTCATCCTTCTCTCTGTGTCTGAGATACAAGAAGCTGAAATGGCTTAGTAATGCTTCTCAGACTCTCAATTCAAAACCCAAATGTATATTGAAAGCTCTTGTACAGTGTGTCACTCATTTCAACACTGCTGAAATAAAAACAATTTAAACCCCAAGGTGTTAGAAAGCTCCAATTCAGTACGTCCCCACATTTAAGCTTTTCTGAAATACCAGTTTTCTTGTTCATTTCCTGTAATAACCTTTTTATTGTTAATTTGCTGAAATAACCTTTTTTTTTTTTGTTAATTTGAGAAAATAATCATTTTCCTGTTAATTTGCTGAAATAGTTGTTTTATTTTCTTTCTACAGTTTCAGTATCGAGCCCAACTACGACTTCCTGTATATCTACGACGGACCAGACAGCAACAGTCATCTCATTGGTAGTTTCCAGGATAGCAAGCTTCCAGAGAAGATCGAGAGCTCCGCTAACTTCATGCACCTAGCCTTCCGTAGCGACGGCTCAGTGAGCTACAAAGGCTTCCATCTGGAGTATAAAGGTGAGGCGCAAAGGGATGTTTATGCAAACTTGAAATGGTTGTTTTGTGTCTTTGTTTTAATGGTTTTGTGCAAGTTACAAATGCAGCAGAGGACTATCTTCTGAGTTTGTTCCCTTTTCTGTCGGTTCATTTGACACTAATTCACTCGCCGTGTTGTGTCTCGTCCCCCTTCCTTCAGGGAACCAAGTTTATATTCATACAAGGATGATCTTTGTCGAACTTTCCAAAGTGTTTGTTTTGTGTCTTTTTTCCCATTATGTTTTTGTGCTATCGACCAAGTTTTTTTCAAATGTAGCAAAGGACGTCCTGACAAGTTAGTTCCTGTTTGTTTTGTGTGTTTGTTTAAAGTGTATTTCTACACAACATCATTTTGTAATACGGTGCATTCAGAAAGTATTCAAACCCCCTGACTTTTTCCACATTTTGTTACGTTATTCTAAAATGTATTAAATGATAGTGTTTCCTCATCAATCTACACACAATACCCCATAATGACAAGCGAAAACAGGGTTTTAGAAATTTTTGCAAAGTAAGTATTCAGACCCTTTGCTATGAGACTCGAAAATGAACTCAGGTGCATCCTGTTTCCATTGATCATCCTTGAGATGTTTCTACAACTTGATTGGAGTCCACCTGTGGTAAATTCAATTGATTGGACATGATTTGGAAAGGCACACACCTGTCTATATAAGGTCCCACAGTTGACAGTGCATGTCAGAACAAAAACAAAGCCATGAGGTCGAAGGAATTGTCCGTAGAGCTCTGAGACAGGATTGTGTCGAGGCACAGATCTGGGGAAGGGTACCAAAAAATGTCTGCAGCATTGAAGGTCCCCAAGAACACAGTGGCCTCCATCATTCTTAAATGGAAGAAGTTTTGAACCACCAAGACTCTTCCTAGAGCTGGCCGCCCGGCCAATCTGAGCAATCGGGGGAGAAGGGCCTTGAAACCGATGGTGACTCTGACAGAGCTCTAGAGTTCCTCTGTGGAGATGGGAGAACCTTCCAGAAGGACAACCATCTCTGCAGCACTCCACCAATCAGGCCTTTATGGTAGAGTGGCCAGACGGAAGCACTCCTCAGTAAAAGGCATATGACAGCCCGCTTGGAGTTTGCCAAAAGGCACCTAAAGACTCTCAGACCATGAGAAACAAGATTCTCTGGTCTGATGAAACCAAGATTGAACTCTTTGGCCTGAATGCCAAGCGTCACATCTGGAGGAAACCTGGCACCATCCCAAAGGTACAGAGATATCCTTGATGAAAACCTGCTCAGACTGGGGTGAAGGTTCACCTTCCAACAGGACAACGACCCTAAGCACACAGCCAAGACAACGCAGGAGTGGCTTCGGGACAAGTCTCTGAATGTCCTTGAGTGGCCCAGCCAGAGCCTGGACTTGAACCAGATCGAACATCTCTGGAGAGACCTGAAAATAGCTGTGCAGCAACGCTCCCCATCCAACCTGACAGAGCTTGAGAGGATCTGCAGAGAAGAATGGGAGAAACTCCCCAAATACAGGTGTGCCAAGCTTGTAGCGTCATACCCAAGAAGACTCGAGGCTGTAATCGCTGCCAAAGGTGCTTCAACAAAGTACTGAGTAAAAGGTCTGAATACTTATGTAAATGAATATTTCAGTTCTTTTATTTTTCATAAATTAGAAAAAATTCAAAAAATCTGTTTTCGCTTTGTCATTATGGGGTATTGTGCGTAGATTGATGGGGGGAAAACTATTTAATCAATTTGAGAAAAATGCTGTAACGTAACAATGTGGAAAAAGTCAAGGGGTCTGAAAACGTTCCTAATGCACCGTATATACTGTAAGTCTTTAAAAAGTTGATTGGTTACAGCTTTTTGTGATCAGACATTCACTAGGCTATCCAACCGCTCAAACAAACTTCTGATGCTGCCACATAATTTGTCTGAATTAGAACAATATATAAAATGTATATTTTCAACAACAGCTAAACTGCGGGAGGCTTGCTTTGATCCGGGGAACGTTATGAACGGGACACGCCTGGGGAATGACTACAAGCTGGGCTCCACGGTGACGTTCAGCTGTGAGGCGGGCTATGTGTTACAGGGACACTCCACACTGACCTGTATGATGGGGAACAGCAGGAGGCCTGAGTGGGACCGAGCCAAGCCCAGCTGTCAAGGTGAGGCAACACACACACACACACACACACACACACAGACACAGACACAGACACAGACACAGACACAGACACAGACACAGACACACACAGACAGACAGACAGACAGACAGACAGACAGACAGACAGACAGACAGCCAGACAGACAGACAGACAGACAGACAGACAGACAGACAGACAGACAGACAGACTTTAAATACTTTATTTAAATCCACCTATCAAATTTACAAAAAAAAGGATCCAAAGATTTCAAAGGTCCCTGTATGCATGGCACTCAAGGGTAAAGAAAGCACCTCCTTGTCCAAACAGCCAGGCTGCCGACGAAGCTGAAACAGAGCAGTACTTAGCCAGTTGCTTTGCCCTAGTTTTTGTAAGGCCCGCAATCTGGAGGCCACGCACTGCAAGCCTGTATACGCGGCAGAGACTGCCGAACATCAGAGCTACCAGCTTGCACCTCCGCCCGAGGCTGTCCAAGCGGGCCGCAAGGGGCTGGTACTTAAGCAGCTTCTCGGCAGAGGCCTGCTCCATGAAAACACATCATCGTCAACATCAAACCAGCTTCCTCTCACACAAGAATGTTTCTGCATGTGTGCTGTTGGTGAGACCACTTGTCTCACCTCGTCAGGTAAACAAAGGCGGTCATGTCTAGCAATGTACAAATCTTTTTATGAACAGCAGCCATTCACAACATGGACCACGGACTCCATTACATTTGACTTATGTAGAATACGAAATGGGTCGTAGTTTGTAGGGTACCAGAGTGCTAGATTATATTTTGTTGGTAGAACCTGCAGCCTCAGGCCAGTCCAGTTTCCCCCTGCAGCCTCAGGCCAGTCCAGTTCCCCCTGCAGACTCAGGCCAGTCCAGTGTTGCAGTAGCTGCATCCGTCTGATACCAAGGAGTGTTGTCCTGGATGTAGGATGAGATGCTCCATCACACACACACACTGAGTGGGACAGAGCCAAGCCCACCTGTCAAGGTGAGGGAGGTGACGATCGATCGATTATCAATTTGTTCTGTACAGTAGCTCTGACTGATCAATAGTTTGGTGTTTAAACTGAAGAAGACATTAGTTTGAATAAAGGCCAGATTAAGGTTTATTGTGTTGTAGGAAGTGTGTGTCTGTGCGTGCCTGTGCGTGTGCGTGTCTGTGCGCGTGTGTGTGTGTGTGTGTGTGTGTGTGTGTGTGTGTGTGTGTGTGTGTGTGTCTGTGTGTGTCTGTGCGTGTGTGTGTCCATTCTATTGACTAACCTGTCTGTTGTGTTAAAGTGATATGAATGGTCCCAGGATGCAATGTAACCACAACACCTCGGGCCCTTGTCGAAAGTAGTGCACTATACAGGGAATAGGGTGCCGTTTGGGACCCAGGCACCTTGACTCAGATTGATTGGGGTCTTGGCATGGTTCCACTCTCTACAGCCCTCACATACTGTCTGTCTCATTACTGATCATGGTTCCCCTCTCTACAGCCCTCACATACTGTCTGTCCCATTACTGATCATGGTTCCTCTCTCTACAGCCCTCACATACTGTTTGTCTCATTACTGATCATGGGTCCCCTCTCTACAGCCCTCACATACTGTCTGTCTCATTACTGATCATGGTTCCCCTCACTACAGCCCTCACATACTGTCTGTCTCATTACTGATCATGGTCCCCCTCACTACAGCCCTCACATACTGTCTGTCTCATACAAACCTCTCAGGTCTCATGGTATTTGGGGTCTGTTGTGTCGTTTTCAGTTCAGGCTGACTGCATGGTGACAGGGAGAACCCAGTCCATCTGGTGCTAGTCTCATTGTGTGTGCTTGGTGTGTGTGTGTCTGGTGTGTGTGTGTGTGTGTCTGGTGTTGTGTCCCATATAGACTTGGACCAGCTGGTGCCTCTCTCTGACAAATGAGATTGTGTTAGTTAACAGTGTTCTCTGCCCACCTGCTAAGTTATACCACTGTGTCTCTCTCTCTGTTTCTGTGTGTGTGTGTGTGTGCCCACCTGCTGAGGTGACTGCATTAAAAGCCTCTCAACACATTACCTGCATGATTAACAGTTTAAGATATGAGATACTGACATACTGCTGGTAGAAATGTACTGTTGTAATGGACTACAGGAGGATATCACACAGTCTTATGATTACACTGATATAATAATATGCCATTTAGCAGACGCTTTTATCCAAAGCGACTTACAGTCATGTGTGCATAAATGTTTTGTGTATGGGTGGTCCCGGGGATTGAACCCACTACCTTGGCGTTACAAGCGCTGTGCTCTACCAGCTGAGCTACAGAGGACCGCAGGAGGAGAGGAGACAGCTCATTTAAATGATCATGATTATTATAACCATAATATACCATAATAATGATATGGATTATTATTAGCATGATAATTATATGGATTATTATGATCATGATAATGATATTGATTATTATGACCATGATAATGATATGGATTATTATTACCATGATAATTATATGGATTATTATGATCATGATAATATTAGTAAAGTAATCTAATTAATGTGATTCTCTCTTACCTTAACCAAAATATAAACGCGACATGAAACAATTTCAAAGATTTTACTGAGTTGCAGTTCATATAAGGAAATCAGTCAATTGAAATGAATTCATTAGGCACTAATCTATGGATTTCACATGACTGGGAATACAGATATGCATCTGTTGGTCACCAATACCTTAAAAAAAAGGTAGGGCCGTGGATCAGAAAACCAGTCAGTATCTGGTGTGACCTCCATTTGCCTCATGGAGCGCAACACATCTCCTTCACATAGAGTTGATCAGGCTGTTGATTGTGGCCTGTGGAATGTTGTCCCACTCCTCTTCAATGGCTGTGCGAAGTTGCTGGATATTGGCGGGAACTGGAACACGCTGTCGTACACGTCGATCCAGAGCATCCCAAACATGCTCAATGGGTGACATGTCTGGTGAGTATGCAGTCCATGGAAGAACTGGGACATTTTCAGCTTCCAGGAATTGTGTACAGATCCTTGCGACATGGGGCCGTGCATTATCATGCTGAAACATGAGGTGATGGCGGCGGATGAATGGCACGACAATGGGCCTCAGGATCTCGTCACGGTATCTCTGTGCATTCAAATTGCCATCTGTAAAATGCAATTCTGTTCGTTGTTCGTAGCTTATCCCTGCCCATACCATAACGCCACCGCCACCATGTTGACGTCAGCAAACCACTCGCCCACACCACATCATACACGCAGTCTGCCATCTGCCCGGTCCTGTGAACAGCAGACCTGTGAATATCAGTCCTGTGAATACCAGACCTGTGAATACCAGTCCTGTGAATAGCAGTCCTGTGAATACCAGACCTGTGAATACCAGTCCTGTGAATAGCAGTCCTGTGAATAGCAGTCCTGTGAATAGCAGTCCTGTGAATACCAGACCTGTGAATACCAGTCCTGTGAATAGCAGTCCTGTGAATACCAGACCTGTGAATAGCAGTCCTGTGAATAGCAGTCCTGTGAATACCAGACCTGTGAATAGCAGTCCTGTGAATACCAGTCCTGTGAATACCAGACCTGTGAATACCAGACCTGTGAATATCAGTCCTGTGAATACCAGACCTGTGAATACCAGTCCTGTGAATACCAGTCCTGTGAATAGCAGTCCTGTGAATACGGTTTCAACTGTACCGGGCAGACGGCCGACAGCGTATATCAGTATATCTCAGCGTCTGCCATCTGCCTGGTACAGTTGAAACTGGGATTCATCTGTGAAGAGCACACTTCTTCAGCGTGCCAGTGGCCATCGAAGGTTAACATTTGCCCACTGAAGTCGGTTACGACGGCGAACTGCAGTCAGGTCAAGACCCTGGTGAGGACGATGAGCACGCAGATGAGCTTCCCTGAGACGGTTTCTGACAGTTTGTGCAGAAATTCTTCAGTTGTGCAAACCCACAGTTTCATCTGCTGTCCGGGTGGATGGTCTCAGACGATCCCTCAGGTGAAGAAGCCGGATGTGGAGGTCCTGGGCTGGCGTGGTTACACGTGGCCTGTGGTTATGAGGCCGGTTGGACGTACTGCCAAGTTCGACGTTGGAGGCCGCTTATGGTAGAGAAATTAACATTCAATTTTCTGGCAACAGTTCTGGTGGACATTCCTGCAGTCAGCATGCCAACTGCACGCTCCCTCAAAACTTGGGACATCTGTGGCATTGTGTTGTGTGACAAAACAGCACATTTTAGTGGCCTTTTATTGTCCCCAGCACAAGGTGCATCTGTGTAATGATCATTCCGTTTAATTACCTTCTTGATATGCCACACCTGTCAGGTGGATGGATTATCTTGGCAAAGTAGGAATGCTCACTAACAGGATTGTAAACAAATTTGTGCACAATATATTTAGAGAATTAAGATTTTTGTGCGTATGAAACATTTCTGGAAAAAATTCAGCTCATTTAACATGTTGTGTTTTATATTTTTTGTTCAGTGTATATCTTGATCCCGATCTCAATCCCAATCTGAATCTGTTGATGGTTTGCTGTCCTTGGACTTTAAGTCCTCTAAAAACACAACTCTCCCCGTCCTCCCTCCCCCTCCTACTCTTTGTAAATGTCCTATCCCTCAAGTATCTCATGTTGTAGACCGTTAGTATTTAGCTTTAGCATTAGCATTAGCATTAGCATTTAGCATTTAGCATTTAGCATTTAGCATTTAGCATTTAGCGTTTAGCGTTTAGCGTTTAGCGTTTAGCGTTTAGCATTTAGCATTTAGCATTAGCATTTAAGTGGTCAAACTGACAGTTTCTCCTCCTTATATTTTCTGATAATTGTGTGCAGCTGAAGGAAATTGCTGGTTCCTGTTTCCGCTGCATAGCTGTATGCATTTAGTGTGACCTGGAAGTCACGTTGATGTGTTGGTGTTTTCACAGCTCCGTGCGGAGGCCGCTCGACAGGGTCAGAGGGGACCGTCCTGTCCCCAAACTACCCCCGTAATTATACCCAGAGTCTGACCTGCGTCTACCACATATTTGTCCCCGGGGACTTTGGTAAGCATTCTCTCTCTCTGGTTTTATTTACTCTCATCTAGAGAGAGCTCTAGAGATATGATGCTATAGATCTATAACTCGCTCTTCGGTCTTAGGCGGTTAATATGCTCGAGAAGAGAGGGGCTCGGAGAGGCGATATAGATATCTATACTCTCTCTCTCTCCTCTCTCTCTCTTTTCTCTCTCTCTGGTTTAATTCTTCTCTCTCTCTTTCTCTCTCTCGTGCTCTCTCTCAATTCAATTCAATTCAATTTAAGTGCTTTTGGCATGGGAAATATATGTTAACATTGCCAAAGCAATGTGAAGTAGATAATAAAACAAAAGTGAAATAAACAATAAATATTAACAGTAAACATTACACTCAGAAGTTCCAAAAGAATAAAGACATTTCAAATGTCATATTATGTATATATACAGTGTTGTAATGATTTGCAAAATAGTTATAAGTACAAATGGGAAAATAAATAAAACATAAATATGGGTTGTATTTAACAATGGTGTTTGTTCTTCACTGGTTGCCCTTTCTTGTGGCAACAGGTCACAAATCTTGCAGCTGTGATGGCCACACTGTGGTTTTTCACCCAGTAGATAAGGGGTTTATCAAAATTGGGTTTTGTTTTCGAATTCTTTGTGGATAGCTGGTAATCTGAGGGAAATATGTGTCTCTAATATGGTCATACAGTTTGGGCAGGAGGTTAGGAAGTGCAGCTCAGTTTCCACCTCATTTTGTGGGCAGTGTGCACATAAGCCTGTCTTCTCTTGAGAGCCAGGTCTGCCTACGACGGCCTTTCTCAATAGCAAGGGCTATGCTCATGAGAACTGTACCATAGTCGAAACTTTCCTTAAGTTTGGGTCAGTCACAGTGGTCAGGTATTTCTCTCTATCTCTCTATGGTTATCCTATCTATTCCCTACTGTGTATCTCTCTCTGTCGCTATCTCTGTTTATGCTCTATACTAGATTTTATCTAGGGATATAGATGATAGCATCTGATCTGCTGCTCTCTCTCTCTCTATCTCTCTCTCTCTCTCTCTCTCTCTCTCTCTCTCTCTCTCTCTCTTCTCTCTCTAACTTACTGTAGATTACCGACTAGAGAAGAGTTGGTCTCTCTCTCTCTCCCTCCCTCTGTCTCTCTCTCTCTCTCTCTCTGTTTCTCTCTCTCTCTCTCTCTGTCTCTGTCTCTGTCTCTGTCTCTGTCTCTGTCTCTGTCTCTGTCTCTGTCTCTGTCTCTCTCTCTCTCTCTCTCTCTCTCTGTCTCTGTCTCTGTCTCTGTCTCTCTCTCTCTCTCTCTCTCTGTCTCTGTCTCTGTCTCTGTCTCTGTCTCTGTCTCTGTCTCTGTCTCTCTCTCTCTCTGTTTCTCTCTCTCTCCCTCCAGTGTGCTATAACAACTGACTTCACCTCACATTACCAAGATTTGGTCATTCAGGATCCGGACGGAAAGCGTTATCAGAAACCATGTTGATTATTATCTCCTATACATGTAGTGAACTATAGCAACACATAATAGTGCTTCTATGTTGGCTTTTACTAACGAGGTGGAAAAAGCTGATCTGGGATATAACTGGCCTCACATTACCGACCAGAGAAGATGAGGATATTCAGGATAAAGTCAAACAAAACAAAATCCACAACAGGTGAAGTGAAGGGAAAGTCAAAGACAAACTAATGAGGTGGAGGGCGCGTCTCAGGAGAAACAGAGGGTTATCCCTGGCTAAATAATGAGGTGGAGGGCGCGTCTCAGGAGAAACAGAGGGTTATCCCTGGCTAACTAATGAGGTGGAGGGCGCGTCTCAGGAGAAACAGAGGGTTATCCCTGGCTAACTAATGAGGTGGAGGGCGCGTCTCAGGAGGAACAGAGGGTTATCCCTGGCTAGCCACAGTACTGTGAGGTGGAGGGCGCGTCTCAGGAGAAACAGAGGGTTATCCCTGGCTAACTAATGAGGTGGAGGGCGCGTCTCAGGAGGAACAGAGGGTTATCCCTGGCTAACTAATGAGGTGGAGGGCGCGTCTCAGGAGGAACAGAGGGTTATCCCTGGCTAGCTAATGAGGTGGAGGGCGCGTCTCAGGAGAAACAGAGGGTTATCCCTGGCTAGCCACAGTACTGTGAGATATCGGCTAACTGACCGCAGATTACCGACTTGAGAAGAGTTGGCCAATCAGGATGAGGCCAGAAACCATTATCAGAAACCATGGTAACAACAGAGTTGTGTTTCTGTGTGGTTGTACAAAAAAAAAGGCGGAGGGGGGGCTATGTCTCGGAGAACAACAGGGCTGGTCCCTAATATAACAGACACCCCTCACATTACATTTTAGTCATTTAGCAGACGCTCTTATCCAGAGTGACTTACAGTTGGTGAATACATATATTTTTTTTTATACCGGCCCCCCGTGGGAATCAAACCCACAACCCTGGCGTTGCAAACGCCATGCTCTATCAACTGAGCTACATCCCTGCCGGCCATTCCTTCCCCTACCCTGGACCAATTGTGCGCCGCCCATGAGTCTCCCGGTCGCGGCCGGCTGCGACAGAGCCTGGATTCGAACCAGGATCTCTAGTGGCACAGTTAGCACTGCGATGCAGTGCCTTAGACCACTGCGCCACACTACCCACCAGAGAAGGTTGGGATTCTTATGATCGGGGCAAAACTAAATACATTTTTAAAGAATGGAAACATGCTCGGCATGTAATGGAGGAAGTGATGGTCAAACACCAAAACCCATCCAAGAATGAAGATAAACAAAGTTCCTATTGGGCATCATGATATCCATAAAGCAACACTACGGCACATCGTTAACTATCTTACAAACTATTCCATGGACGCCATCATTTTTACATTTTATTTTATTTATGCCTTATTATCAATCGCTCTCGCTCAGTGGCCCAGGATTTACGAGATGATTGAAGTTATGTCCTCTTTCTCGAGATTTTTCTGAAGAACTCCATGACACTCACCATGCTTGAATGAATCTCCGGTTTGACAAGCTGTCTTGGTGCCGTCACTCCACTACTCAGGGAGTCAGAAACATTGTGTGCGTCCCCATATGCCACCCTATCCCCTACACAGTGCACTACTTTTAACCAGATTCCTATGGACCCTTATCAAAAGTAGTGCACTGTAAAGGGAATAGTGTGGTATTTCAGACGTAGCCATCCACAGGTTTTCATGAATGCTACATTTGACATGGCTTCATGGCTAATACCTTGATGGCGCATGAGGTTCTGGGGAAAACCGTCCCCTTCCTTTGACAATATATCATATCCCCTTACAACTGCCATGGACTATGTGTGTGTTGCGTCTCAAATGTCACCCTATTCTGTATCTACATTTACATTTTAGTCATATTTAGCAGACGCTCTTATCCAGAGCGACTTACAGTTAGTGAGTGCATGCATTTTTCATACTGGCCCCCCGTGGGAATCGAACCCACAACCCTGGCGTTGCAAGCGCCATGCTCTACCAACTGAGCTACAGGAGGCCTGTGTCTAGTGCACTATAAAGGGAACAGGGTACCATTTAGGATGCTGGAAATATCTCGTTACGACTCCCACAGAGAATGTCTATCATGGATGGTAGCATTCATCTTTGACATGGTACTAGTCCCCTTGTAGCTCAGTTGGTAGAGCATGGCGTTTGCAACGGCAGGGTTGTGGGTTCAATTCCCACGGGGGGCCAGTATGAAAAAAAATATATATATGTATGCACTCACTAACTCTAAGTCGCTCTGGATAAGAGCGTCTGCTAAATGACTAAAACCCTGCTGAGTTATTTATACACAAGTCTGGGTCCTGAGTCTCCCAGATGACCTCCCTGATGTGTGTTGGCCAAACAGACACTTGAAGCTGGGTTGCATCCCAGATGGAACATTATTCCCTATTTAGTGAACTACTTTTGAGCAGAGGGCCCTTGGTTGAAAGTAGTGCACTGATTAGGGATTAGGGTGCCATTTGAGACGTATCCCCCGATCTGGATGCATTGGTCTCAGCTGGGCTGGCAGAGAAAGGTCAGGCTAAAATACCCTCTCATAAATTCAGGGCCACTCAGAGAGGGTTGATAACAAGTACATTTAGAAATTGTTGCTGTTGCTGATGTTGTTGTTGCTGCGGTTGTTGTTGTTGCTGTTGTTGTTGTTGCTGCTGTTGCGGTTGTTGTTGTTGTTGCTGTTGCGGTTGTTGTTGTTGTTGTTGTTGCTGCTGCTGTTGCGGTTGTTGTTGTTGTTGTTGTTGCTGCTGCTGTAGCGGTTGTTGTTGTTGTTGTTGTTGTGTGTTGTTGTTGTTGTTGTTGCTGTTGTTGCTGTTGTTGCTGTTGTTGCGTTGTTGTTGTTGTTGTTGTTGCTGCTGCTGCTGTTGCGGTTGTTGTTGTTGTTGTGGTTGTGGTTGTTGTTGTTGTTGCTGCTGCTGTTGCGGTTGCTGTTGTTGTTGTTGTTGCTGCTGCTGCTGCGGTTGTTGTTGTTGCTGCTGCTGTAGCGGTTGTTGTTGTTGTTGTTGTTGTTGTTGTTGCTGTTGCTGTTGTTGTTGTTGTTGCTGCTGCTGTTGCGGTTGTTGTTGTTGTTGTGGTTGTGGTTGTTGTTGTTGTTGCTGCTGCTGTTGCGGTTGTTGTTGTTGTTGCTGCTGCTGTTGTGGTTGCTTTTGTTGTTGTTGTTGCTGCTGCTGTTGCGGTTGCTGTTGTTGTTGTTGTTGTTGCTGCTGCTGCTGTTGCGGTTGTTGTTGTTGTTGTTGTTGTTGCTGCTGCTGCTGTTGCGGTTGTTGTTGTTGTTGTTGCTGCTGCTGTTGCGGTTGCTGTTGTTGTTGTTGTTGTTGCTGCTGCTGTTGTGGTTGTTGTTGTTGTTGTTGCTGTTGTTGTTGTTGTTATTGTTGCTGCTGTTGTTGCGGTTGTTGTTGTTGCTGTTCTTGTTGTTGTTGTTGATTTTGTTAGCCAACAGAAACAGAATAAACAGCCAACAGAGAATAATACGTGTGCTGGTAGACATGTTGTTCCTGTTGTTAACCAGATGGATTGCATT